GTTGCCACAAAGAAGGAAATTAGGTTCTCTCAGGGTGGATAAGGTTACATTAGGAGCTAGCGGCTACGTTTGAAGGCAGTCACAGATTACCCTGAAATAGAGTCTGCAAAACAATAATTAAAAATGCTTTAAGATAGGGACCTTAGTGGGCAATAAAAGTGATAAAACAGTGACAAATTAAGAAAATAGAGAAGAACAGCAGATGGAACTGCAAGAGACAAACTGATTGATCTCAGTTGATGCTACCTAAACAGAGAAGAGTGTTCTAATTCAATCACTGCTATTTCTGTTTACATATTCAGGTATAGGCACCTTCAATTATGCTATCTTTATTGAAATACTTGGCATCTTGAAAAAAAAAATCAGTTATCTTCTTTCTTTATCACAATAATCAGCATCTTGAAAAAAATAAAAATAAAATAAATTAATTGGTTGCCTAATAATAAAGTTCCTGGCTTCTGCCTTGTTTTCATTGGCTGTTATAATCACGTGTTCTAAATATTGAGGGGCACGCGCCCCCCTGAGTCCCCCCTTTAATCTACGCCCCTGCTAAAAAGTAAGTTTTAATTCAGTAAAAAGTTGGTGCCTTCTCCTGATAGCTTACAGGTAAAAAAAATAGCCTCCTTCAGCTCGGTATTTCCTCCGTGAGTGCAGTGTGTGAGCGCTGTCAGGAGGAGGTGGTGGAGGCTGGCAGAAGCAGCGGTGCTCTGTCGGTCCTCCCAGTGTCTGTCTGTGTGTCTGTGAGCTGCAGAGGTGAGCCGCCGCCGCTGCTGCTGCTGCTGCTGTGTAGTCGGCCCCCTGCCCCGCTCTGCCCCGCTCCGCTCCGCTCTGCTCCGGGAAAAAGCGGCCGACGGATTATCCTGCTCGGTAACGTTAGCTCGCCGGCTAACGGTCAAGACAGCCGCCGAGGAGAGCCATGAGAAGCCGGTGAAAGTTACCCGCGGCTCACTTGGGGGACTTTAATGTTGGTGGACACACAGAAAAGGAGGTTCGCGGATCATGCCGTCGCCCCCAACGGAAACTTTTCTCTAGAAGCTCCACTTGGGGACGGCTAGCTTACAGGCTAGCGAGGCTACAAACTATTTTTAATTGGCTTTGGGCTCAATGGCTCTCGCTTGTTTTTCCCTGTCATAGCGACAGCTTGGAAAATTGGGAGAGGCCCTGTGAACTTCATGACAAACCAAAGGCCGGTTTTGAAGCGTAACTTCGGAAGACTCGACTGGCAAAGGAGCGAAAATGAAGAAGCAGTTCAATCGGATGAAGCAGCTCGCCAATCAAACAGTTGGCAGGCAAGTATTGAAGTCTGTTTGCTCACTGAAAGCTCATTAGCAAAGTAGCAGACACACTTTGTTTTGGTCTTTCTGACCTGTCTTCTAACGCTTGTGGATATAATTTAGCCTTGAATCATCCTCTACACTCACAGTAACTGGCTCTCTAGCAGTTGTGACCATGAAACGTTGTAAAAGAGAAATGAAAATCACATGAGCTGTGTAAAGCAGGACAGTCTTTCATGAATGAATCATTTGCTTTTAATGGCTGAAAACCAAGGACATTGGACTCTAAAGACTCGTAGTGAAACATGAATTGGGAAGAGGGGCTTCTATTTTTTTTCTTTTTTGCAAGAGTCTTCTTTTTAAGTGCTGATACAGAAGAAGCTCAGGAGTGTGCAGGCCAGACAGTGAATGATGTGACACATAGAGGGGAGAAAACCACCAAAATGCAAGTTTCCTAACAGACCAAATAATATGACACTGATGACTTTTAAAGCCAGTAACTTATACCTTATTATGACAACATATTAATGCGGTCCTGAAGGCAGACCTTTGCTGCCCAGTCTGCTCTGGTCCTGTGAAGATAAATTCAGATATTATCTTGATGAGACAAGATGACAGTGAGTCAGGACTAATGTACTAAAGCAGTGGATGAGCTGGTATTCTCTCTGCACTGCAGCAAGGTTGAAGTTATGTGCTGATAAAGTAGCAGAAAGTCCATTTGTGAAACACAAGACATTCAGCTTTAGCCCTGCATCAAAGTTAATGTACATAAAATTGATGAATGAGTTAGGATGATGGATGTGTCTGCCTGCTTTCACTTCATCTCCCTCTGAACTTGAAGCAGCAGCGTTTAAGCTAATGGGCACTTTTAGAAAAAGACTTCATCAGAACAGTGATAACATATTTTGCTGAATCCACCACTCTGATAGTGCTGTTGTGCTGCTGTGTGATGACGCCCAGTGTCTCTGTGTAACTGGATATTTGAAGTAGTGATGGCTTTAACCAGACCTTGTGAGAACACAAGGGTGAGACAGGTAAAGGATCTTTTCATTATAGGAGACCATGATGTGAGGCATACGTGTATTTTGTGGTTGTTGCCGTGTTTATATAAAGGTCAGCTGGGTTTGGCACCTCAGGTGGAGGTGTATCCAGTATTGGATGTTGTCAGATGAAGTCAGTGACAAGCTGGGAACTTTAACTCAAGCAAATTTGTCCTGCACATCTGAAGATTATGCAGCATTTCCATGTTTAGTGATTTCTTTAACTGGATGGAATAGGTACAAATTAATTATGTGCTGATTAATAATCAGACGTCTTTAAAGTATCAGAAAATAGTGAAAAATGCACATAAAACTTGGCGTATTTACATTTTTGTTGTTTTAATATTTTGTTTGTCTTCTCTACATCATTCTGACAATCTGTTAAGTCATTGATTACCTCAGGTATCGTATCCTCGTGCACAAATCTTCCCCTTTTCTGCTCTTTGTATCATTCAAAATAAACACAAACAATCCATTCAAAGTAGGTTTTTCATTAAAACCTGATGTTTTCACCATGAATGATTTTTAGAAGTTTCTGTGGGGTCTGAGCATTACTTGTTATTTTTTTTGTATTACTTACTTATCGATGAAATGACTAATTAGAAAGGAATACACTAACAGCAAATGAAAATAATCACAAATAGGCAGACAAGGTATTGGATGCTGACAGAAATTAGGTGGCTGGCAAGTTTGCTAACATGCACCAGACAGACTAATTACCATGTTGCTGTCCATTCAGCATTTATTTGATGGTAACACTATCACCAAGGTTTACTGAGAGATTCAGCTCCAATAATGTTGCTACAGCCAACTTAAGACCAGTAGAAGGAGGGCAGCTGGAATACTCATAATTTCCTCTCTGCACTGTAACAGCAGTAAATTAAAACTGGAGAGAGTGTAATGCAGAAAACAGACATTTGGATATGTGTGTGTGTATGCGGTAGTTGCTTACTCTTACTCTTGCTTGCACAAGTAGGGTTAATCCCTCGTGCACTCATATACATGCCCGTCCAAATGAGTGATCTCTTAGTGGTTGGATTTAGGGTGAGCAAGCACACTCTGCTTTGTCCATTAAGTTTGTGGCTGCTTGTGTTTCTGCGAAAAAGTTTGGAGTGCAAAAGGCCCTCTCCGCTGCCCCCTGGGTTCCTGTGATTGTGCGAAGGCAGAACACTGTGTCCAGCAAGCAGCCGCTCTGAGGAAATCTCTCCTTCTTCTTCTACAAACAGGAAACTGCCTCCCAGAGACATGCTAGTGCTTTCTAGAAAGGAGGAGAGAGAGAGAGAGTGAAAGAGCGAGTGAGAGAGAGAGAGCTGGGAAAACTGATGTAGAGTGAGAGAGTGAAACTGAGGTGCATGGAAAAACAGCATGTGATTCATGCCAGGCAAGGATTTTTATCTCTTTGTGGAAGGTTATTCTGGTTTGCTATCTATGAACGCTCCAGCCCAGTATCTATCTGTGTTTGCGGCAAGTTAATGAGGTCTGATAGTAACACCTTTAAAGGAGATTACGTATGAATAGTTTAGGCTACAACCACTAACTGCATAAAAATAAACAATCATCCAGCATGGCCCCAGGATGAGATCAGAATTCGTTACGTTTTGTCTTTCGTTATTTTTGTGATAATGCCGGTACCTCTGATTGTCAGGAAATAAGCCTTAGATAACATATTCAGTGCCTGAGGAAGGAACTTGATTAAAGGAGTGCACATAGAGGCTGCCAATAAGGGGCAGTTCAAAGGGGAAGGGTCCTGCTAAGCGAGGGACGAGGCCTTACATCCTTGAGACACACAGAGTTGAACCAATAAAACCCACATCTCTGGGGGCGCATGCTTGAGCTGTTACTTCCTGGTTGGAATTTTTAAAGTGTAACGAAGTGGTCACAACCATCCCATCCATTGCCACCTCAGCTGCCAGTCAATCAGTACAGTTATGAGGTTATCACAAATTCTTGAACCTTGAATCTCTTTCAAGTGCCTCAGTGCTCTGTAGCTCAGTACTTCATAGAGCGGGGTAAACACAGTCACAAATACTTTAAATTTCATCCCCTAGACTGCTGACACAGAATGTTTTCATCCCAGCTTTTCTCCCCCCTCGTTGTTAATAATTCACCGGCATTATAAACAGCTGTATTATATAATCCCTTTGGATGCAATATCCATCAAAAGAGCCATGTTATGCAATTTCATGCAGATCCATTGTATTTGAAAGTCCTTGATCAACATGAGAAGGGCTTTAGTTGAAAAGGCGCTTCCCCCCCACAGGGATGTTAAAAATGTCACTGTTCAATTAACAAGGATAGGTGACTCTGGGTGTTGCCCTACGTCTCACAGGCCCGTGCTGCAAGAACAATGAGGTGTGGCAGCTGGGTTGCCTGCAATATGTGGTGCTGCTAGTGATAGATTACAGGCTATGCTGTTGTTTATAAATTCTGCTTCTTAATCCAAGTTATAAATCACATTGAAAGAAAATGTCAGTGACATGACAGAATGAGGATCTTTTAATCATTAATAATTACCATGATTTTTGTCAGCTGCAGAAAAGTGCTTACTGTTTTGGGATTTTCACTTTGACAACATTTAGTTCAAAACCCCAAAAATCCTCAAGTCGAAAACTGTGAGTTTTTAGGAGACTAAACACTGGTGACATTGTACTTTTTGTTTGACAAAACCGTCCGTTGTATATAAACATGGACAAACCGTGACTCTGACATCACCTATAGGTTTCCTAAAGAGCAGTTTTGGAGCTCGATGTGGTGGCTCCAGCTGCTTGCATGGTCAGCCTTATCTCCACAGTGCTGTGTTAGCGCAAGAGACTGGTCTTGCTGCACCGTATTATCATTTTGCAATAGAGAAGAAAACACTTCTTAAACCAATCACAATTGTCTTGGCCATTGCAAAGCACAGGTTGCAGCAACAGCACCACATTTAAAATTGTATTGGGGTTATTGCTTTAGTGGAGCATTTACACTTAAGGAGGCAAGCACTGTCATTAAAATGACTATCTCACTGAAAGAGCTGCACGTTTTTAAGCTCCCGATAAGATATTTCACTACATTTATTTAATGCATTATCTTCACAGGCAGCAAGACGACTGCTCTATTTCAGTGAACAAACCAAGCGAACTGCCTTATTACACAATCTAAATCAAAACTTGAGCACGTATTTTGCTCGTTGTTGTTGTTTTTTGTAGTTAAGGGAATTTTTAAATTGCTAACATGTAGATAGGGGAAGTGTAGTGGAATGCAGGGATGTAGGATCCCCTTGTTGGGATGATAGTGACTAATCGTTAATCAATTATTGCCGTTAAAGTCCATCCCATACATGTGAAATAGGTCAATATCTATATATTCAGCCTATGCACACTAATGTCAGGCCACAGATTTTGGACTAAAACGTCCACGGAGGGGTTCGCTTGGACTTGAGGAGATCACAAAATTTACATCACATTTTTCAGATGTGCAAAGTATAACACTGGCTCTACACCCACAGTCTACATTCAGTGAGTCAGACTGGATGGACTAATTTTTGCCTCAAGTGGCCATTCAAGGAACTGCAGCCTTTGGCACATCCATTACTTTTTTCAGATCCGGAGGTTGCTGCTTGGACAAAACAAACAATTTTAAGAGGAATCCGGAAACAAAAATAGACATTTTTACAAGTTTCGGACATTTGAGAAAATAAATAAATCATAATCAATAATGTTAGTTGTTATATTATAATGTTAGTTGCAGCCCTAAACAGTGTCATACGCTGAATTGTTGTTTAATCACGCAGTTATTATCTGTCAGAACATTTGGATATAAATATCTGTGAGATAGGAAGGATCCTGCTTTGTCCTGATGCCATCTGTACACACAGTGAGTTGAAGTCCTTCAGTTTTCACCCCCATGTTATGTTCTCTCTTGCCCAGATCTAATGTTAGCTTAACAACTCACATAATCAGCTACATTAGGTTCGTTGTATGGGCTGAGTCACTCCATTATCCTCCCTGCTCCTTTCATCTGGGTCCAGTATCCATTACCTTATGCTTTAAGCTGCCAACTGTTGCAGCCGTAAGAGGCAGACCCTTCCTACTCTGCAGCTCGCTGATTGTGTTGAGTGGCTGGTAACAGCCGCTCTATTGTGCTCACGGCTTCGGTAATCACTTACTCCCTTTCCACTTTCATAGTAGATCGCCATGGTTACCATTCTGAACTAGTGGCCACGGCTGTGCTGCGAGGATCTCTTGTTGTTAAGAAGTCACATGCAGCACACAGTGACACACTTTCTCCAAAGGCTGCTGCTTCAGCGAGGCTCGATGGGGGTCAGCTCTATTCGCTCTAGGTCAGCTGATGTTGGCAAAACAATTATTGTTTTGTTTGTTGTTTGTCCTCTGACTAGGCTGCACGCAGCTTGTTTTTACCTCTATGACACAGGGCGTTTTAAGGTTGGTCGCATTAATGTTGCTCTTCTCGGAGCTTGAATATGAGCATCTTCACGTTTTCTTCTGATCATTCAATTACAACCAGGTTAGGACAATATTTGCTCATGTCATATATACACATCACCAGGTGTCCTTGTTCACTTTGACATGGGTAAGCAGAGCTAAATTAACAGAGCCGGGCTACCAGTCAAGCTTTTGTATTACTCTTGGCTTGTATACAGTTTAGTCTGGTTTCCTTTGGTGTTTTGATTTGATTCAGCTCATGAGCCACAGATGCCATTAAGTGGACCAGATGCAAAGTGGTGTGTTTAAAGTGCATGGATACTGGTGGTGGGAAAAACATCTTTTTTTTTGCAGTGACAGCAAAACAGCTTTTAAGTGCACGCGACACACAGAAAAATATAGAAATTTTGTAGAGCTGCTGTGGAAATTAGCCACATCTGAACAATATTACATGCATTTTCAGCATTACCTAATTTTTTTCCTAATTACATTTATCTTGCAATACATGGCAGTCCAACTAAGCATCACATCAACTAGCAAATACATAGTGAATGACTGAATTGCACAAAGGTGTATTCATGAAAGTTTACTTGATTATTACATTGGTTTTTAAGATCGGGACCACATCAAGAGCTCTTCAGCATGTAGACTCCACCAGAACATGGATTCCATACTGTTGCTTTATAATCATGCTTTGTATGTGTGTGTGTGTGTGCGTGGCTCACGTTTTTTCCACAGCGAACTGGAAGTCTTGTCTGTAGGTTTCTGTGGGTTAGAAGATGTGTGACCTCACCAGCTTGGCTATGGCTCTCCTCCAAGGAAAATCTTTCCATTCATCTCAAACCTCTAGATTATTGAGCTTTGGCACTTTTTGGAGTCTTTAACCCTCCAACCTCCCCCCCCAAAAAATTTGTATTTCTTTCCTTCTGACCCCCAAACTATGGTGCCTTCTCTGTCAGTCTCTCTCTGTTTCTCCCTGCTCGCTGCCTCTGTGTTGTAATTGAAAGCAGCTGTGATGAGGTTACTATAGTTCATAGAGAGCAGTTTTTGGAGGAGGGCCCAGGCTTCATTTAGAGCTCCAGTTACCCAAAATGCAGGCAAGCGACTGTCTACAGGTCCCTTCAATTAGAGGACTGAGCTTACACTTGGAAAAGTTTGCACATTAGTTCGGCACAACAATACCTGCACAGTCTTCATTCTGTGTAGCGGTACAGGGACACAAAGTACGACAGTGAAGTAGTCTGAGAGAAAGAGTGAATTCAAAATACACATTAGACCGGTTGTACATCATGTCTTCTTACTGTAAACAAAATCATGTATTTGTGTATCACTATAAATCCTCAGATTAAGAGGCTGCTAAAACACAACATTTATGCATCAAAGGAAGGTTTTAAAGCGTCGTCCTGCAGCTATGCCACAATATAGGCATTGCTTAATTAATTGCAAGTAAATCTCAGCCTGACTTCAGACAGTGACCCTCTGACAGAAGCCACCAACAAGTGTGAAGGTGCTGATAAGCAGGGTGAGCTGAGCCCGTGTTTCCCAGCCTTCTCCCTTTAAGTGAATCTAATCTGTCTGACCTCTTCAAGTCCAACTATTAGTTTACTATTAATAGGCTCAGGCGTAGCAGGGCTGTATGGCCGGTCTGTGCACGACACCATGAGCTCGACAAGCTGCAGCTTAAGGAAATCAAAGCTTGTACAAACACAAGTTTTTCTTTTATCTTAACAGATTATTGTAATTATATTCAAGCTTTTCAAAGTTCATGACTTTTTAATGATATTACCACGGTATATAAAGTGTACATGCAGATGCAGCAGCGCAGTTCGTTAAGCAGCCTGTTTTGCTTCAGCATACCAACCTGTTCCTTTGCTGATTGAGCCGTGGCAACAAACTAAAGAGACCCACCCAGTCTTGAAACATTCCCATGGATGCCCAGGACGCTGTTTTAGTTTTTAGGCTAAGCGTGGAAACCAGTCCTTCAGGAGTATTGTCATTTGTGTGACACATATTTTTAAGTCGCTGCACAATTTTTTTTCAACCACGTCAGCTATTGTTGTCTGTCAGTTCTAATCTGTACGCTCTGTGTTGTTTTTTCTCACCCACAGAGCAGAGAAAACAGAAGTCCTCAGCGATGACCTCCTGCAGGTAAATCATTAGTCAGACTCTGCTGAGCTCTGACCAGCTCCTAATGTGGCTGCACCTGGCTGCAGTTACATGAACCAGTGTTTTTCCCCTTTGAGTGAAATCAGTTTGTGTCCATGCTCGACAAAAAGCGATCAGGAAGGCCTTAAAAGACGGAAACAAATTCTTTCACATTATAAATTAGGGCTGTCATGATATAGCAGTAGTGATGGTAACTGTGATATTTAGACAATGGAATACTGATGTCATGTTAGTAAAACACATATGATAATACAATAAGTAGTATAGTGTCAGTAAATGTCTGGTTGACACTCCAACATAGTAGGTTTTGGTTTTAGTTGACATTGTACTGATGGCAGATGTTTGGCCCTGTGAATCTTTATCAGTTCATCTGGCTGCCTTTTCACAATCTTCTAATTATAAGGGCGCTTTGTGTACACTTTTGTACAAATATGGTTACAGAATTTTGCCTCCCGACACACATATTTTGGGTGTGATTCATTTGCCAAAAAAACAAAAAGAGACAAAACACAATACACCAAGTTAAAGAAGAATTCGACTAATAGCACTCTTATCATTCTTTTTACATTTTCTATAGACATTACAATTATGTCATTATCTAAAATTCTTTTGTCCATGATAATGATCATGTAGTGAAAATAGGACATTACGGTCCTCTTGTGATCATTGAAAAGAAGGCGAGTCTTCTGCTTACGTCATGTTTAACTCATGTGTCCTTTTATAGAGGATGTTGCAAAACATAAATACCTCAAAATTAGTACTTGTCACTATTAGTGCTTGTCCTTCTGGTTTGTCCTGTTTATGTCACTGTGTGTGCTGTGCTTCCAATATTATAAATGTACAGCACTTATTAGTGTGTCAGTTTCATTCTATTAGGCATAACACAAAAACAATAATAATGTTAAAATTCTGACTATATCTTTGGTCCACAACTGAAGTTCACTTTCTCGCACATGTTGAAAGAGTTACAGAAACAGAGCTTGTGTCTTGTTACGTGGCATTACATTTTTCAGTGTTGTATAGTAGTATAAACTCATTTGTTAGCTGCCTTTATTTCTGTTATTTGTAGCTGTATTCATCATTGATAAGGCTTGGTGTAGTTTGCAGCTGATTGTAGCATTTTCTTTAGTAAACGCTACAACTTCTGCAAATTAATAGAATCATCATTTACTTGTCTGTTACTGCTTAATGCTGCATTTAAGAAAAAATCTACCCAGTGTCTCATGAAGGCCTTTTAGTTCGAGTGTTCTTCTTTTTTTGGAAATTCGCCTGCCACACCTCTGCATTTACTTGTCTGCACTGTGACAGGTCAATGTTGGATGTAGAGGGATTTAAAATGCACAAAAAATATGCTTGAGCAGCTGGACAGTGTACTGACAAAGCCAAAAAGTATGCATGTTTTCATGCCAGCTAAAGAGCAGCTGACATTACTTATTAGATCCTCTTCCCTGAATGTCTGAGACGAGGTGAACACAGCTGGAGCAGCAATTGTTTCAAATAACATCTGCAGACTTTTGGTATTGCTGCTGACAAACAGGTCTGATGCACTTCTGTGGTGCTGTGAACTGTTTGTCTGCAGCAGGTTCAACATTCTGCACAGAGGTCAGTGTGGTGGTGGATGTGCTCAGTGCATGCATGTGAAAGCTGCTGGTGCAGGGATTCCCCCAGAGATCTTCTGAAGCAGACAACAGGTGGGGTTGGGACTGAGCATTGGCTGCTCAGCAAAGACATTCCACCGATGAGGATTGTCTTTGTGTGTGAATGGGAGGCATCATAAATGTTCAAACAAACTCTGCTGTCTTTGCATAACTCCTTGAGAAGAGACACAATGTCCAACACCCTCTATTCTTCTTCCTCTTCTTCTCTCTGCTTCCTTTAAGAGCTGGCATCTACACAAACAGCCCTTTAAATTCATACCTCTGCCAAAAAATAGGTGTGTCTATGAAATGAGCTTTATCTGTGAACAAAAGTAATCAGATTTGAGTGATAGCGAGAACATCAGAGTTAGATGTAGCCAGCTTGATTTGATGTAATGCGAGTAGACAAGTGAACACTGGTGACTAACTGCTTGGAGTGTTTTTCACTGAAGAGAGGATGTTGTGTTTTTTTTTTCTGACCGTTGACTTTGACTGCTTCTCAAAGACACAATTGTTCTGCCTCGGTCTGGAAATCGGACGCTGTGCCTCTTTGGGCTCTGTCTCTCACTTCATAGGAACACTGCTGTCTGATAGAGAAGAAGGGAGTGAGTCACAGAGAGATAGAAATCACTGGAATTTTTGTGGAGGGATGATAATGGAGCTATTTTTGCAGAAGACATCTAATTTAATTTGTGTTCAGATTTTCTCCCAGCCTTATCATTTTTCTTTATTATTATTAGTGATAGTCTGTAGTTTACCAGAATGGTTTTAATGCTCCTTATATCCTCTGCAACAACACATTTTAATGGGATCTTGGCAGACAGCCTAACTTATAGGCTGTCCTTGTGAAACTCGCATGTAGATTAATCTATGAGAACAATTTGGGCTGATCCAACACCACACAGAAGTCTACAACCTCCTTGTGAAACTGGCTACTCGTCCTGACTTCATATTAAAGCAAACATGAGGTTAATATGAACCTTTTTAACTGACTCACGGCAGGAAAGAAAATAAGCAAATGTCCCAAAATTGAATCCTTTTCCTTTCAGGGTGTTGTAATTAAGTACTTGTGTTTAGGTTGCGGTGGAGGAGGACACAGGGTCGTGGGTGTTTTTAGGCCGCAAAGTCCATCTCGGAAGGGCACGCGGCCAAGGTGATGAGAGCCCCAGGTGGCTGCAGACTAGTGTGTTTTGGAAATCCTGCACTGATGTCAACTGGCAGAGCAATGTGGAGTTGAAGGGCTCAATCATCAAGGGGTGTGATGGCTGTTATGAGAGTTCTTCATGCAACCAAACTTTGCATTTTTGTGACATCCTTAATAGTAGTTAATGCAAGTAAAACTATTCAGCTGTTAGAACTGCCAGAACATCACATCAAACAATTTTCTTATTGCTGTTGATGAAGTGTCCATCACTGGTACATATTGCTCTTGTTTTATCACTCATTCCCTGCTGCACACATTTTTCTCAGCCTCTCACTTCTTCAAATATAGTTACTGGTATTTTAATATTTTCCAGAGAGATTTCAAGTCCCCCTGTATCCTCTACAGCAACACACAGCTGGTTTCACTAGCATCTTTAATGTCATGCGAAGAATTGAAAGTGAGCATAAAAAGGAACCGTTGGAAGTACCATCTGACACTCAGCTATGCTTAGCTCATCATTTCATCAGCTGCTGGTCAGGCTAACTAGCTCTGTAAAATCGGCAAGTGGGTCTTTGTTGACAGTCTTGTCATTTGATCCTCAGGTTTGAGTCCTTGGACTGTGTTTGGCTTTTTCTCAGCCCAGTCATGTGAAGCCCTTCTTGTGTACGGTTCTCTAGCGTGACAAAGAGCCACGCAGCTGTCCATTCCTTGCTGCTCCTCTGTATACAGTAGCAGCCCATCTACATGGAGCTACTACAGAAATACTCCAGAAATACTGGGTTGTACACTCCCTTGTAGCTGAGTGTAATAGCTTAGGGCATTTTATAAGGTAGCAGCCAGCTGTTTTAACACTTCTGTCATACATCCCTAATACAAACAAAGAATATTTTGTTTGCCATCAGTTGCTCACTGGATAATTCCATCCTTAATGCGTCACATTATGTTATTTTTGCTCTTTCGGTACTTGTCCAGACATGTTAACATCCTTTCTCTTAGAAACCAATAAACAAACACAGCCACCTTCTGTGTGTTTTTTCTCCCAGTCTGTCCTACTTATTATTGGGATTCCCTGGCTTATGACGCGTCATGGGATTGACCAAGTATTGACCTCATCACATAGCCGGAGGAAAAACACACCCTGCTGCCTTTCAGCTCTTTTTGGCCTAGGTTTTCCCACTCCTCTGCATGCTTTATTCTTCGAGTATTGTGCGTCTAACCATTTTGTTACAATGAGAGGAAGAAGAATACTGTCATGTAATCCAAACAGTTCCCATACACCCACATGGGAACGTAGGGAGGGGAATCCCCTCAATGGTTTTGTGCCAGGTACTCCCTGGGTTGAGTATAAGCAGTGCTCCCCAACCTATAGCGTATGGATGCAGCATGTCTGTATATACATGTGTGTTTAGTAAGTTTGTATTTAAGCCAGCTGTTTTGGGAATGCCGGGGGCCACCATGGGTCGGGAATGACGTAAGAGTGCGAGAACAGAGGGAGGGAAAAGAGAACAGGGGGGCAGTGGACGGAGGCGGATATCTGCTGTGGAATTCCTGAGTTCCGACTCCATTCTGTTTTTGGAACACAATTGTCTGGTATTTGGTTGATCCTCCCTCTGCATTTGTCTCCCTACATTTCTGCTGAAGTTCCCCTCTAGACCTCAGCGTTCCCATTTATATTTGGAACATTGTTTGTCCCAACTCCTAAGTGCATGTTGATCCCTTTGAGACATTTACAGGCTCTTACTTTCTCACTGTGTTTTTGTAGTCAAACAGCAGACACACCTGTGCACAAGTGACATGCAACCTGACTTTCTCACAAGTGCTGCCAACATAAACCAGTTCTTTGCATCGTCAGACGATGCTGGCCTGACTTTTAAGTAGGCTTGAACAGTAACTTGCAATCATCAGTTCCATTCATAGGTTAGTGACAGTCAGCCTAATGTTGACACTGACTGTCCCACTCAGACACCTGGCATGACGAGGACAGTGAATAGTCATCCTGCGGAGCTTCAGTTGGCCTCTGTCCTTAAGCCTGAATAGCAGTGACTTCAATCAATGACAGTATTATATCTTGTCAGCCTAAAGGCACAGAGTGGATCTGTGTAGTCCGACTAGTAGACAGGCGAAAGCCTGTGTAATCAAAAAGGCCTTTTTAAGGCCAAAGGACCCCTTCGCTCTCGGTCACAGCTCAGGGGCCGTTGCTATGAAGACACTTCCGATGAGTCATGTGTTTCAAAGATAACATTCCAGCGTCGTTCCGCAGGGACAAACCTTATCAATCATGCTTGAACTATGACCTCTGACTCCCACAAGGCCACTACAAATCAAATGCATGGGACTGGAGCTCATCAGCTTTCAACAAAGCAGAATCGCTGTTGTCTTAGTGTTAATGGTGTTGATGAGATTAAGCACAAGTTCATTTAGTAATTGCAGTCATGTGTTTTCTTGTACTTGTTGTACTGTGGTATTTTCCTTTGTCATGATACATTTTTGTATTTAAAAAAATGTCACACCTGTGCAGCCAAATTCAAAACTTTTAATAGAATACACATGTGAAAAAACTCTTGCACTGTACTCTCAGATGGGTTTGATAAAGATCTTTTCCTGCATGTCGTTCTTGTGCACAGATCGAACGGCGCATGGAGCTGGTGCGCGTCGTGTCCCACAACACACACAAACGGATGGTGTCATGCCTGCAGGGACACATCGGGGCAGATGCAGAGAAGAGACATGTAAGGCACTAAGTCTGTTGCACTAAAATGTTTGTCATACCTTTAAAGTCAAGCTAACCTAATCAATCAGCTGTTCCAGGATGTTTCATTTTTTTTATATCACCTCCCACACAAGGTGGAGTTCTCACTGTTTTTAGTATCAATGCCTTAAAAGTGTCCGCAGTAGGCAGTTCAGTCCATGATTTCTCTTTTGTTTTTTTCTACTCTACAACACCCAAAAATGCACCACAGTCCGTACCACGCCTCTATACAGGAAATGGTCAGGTAAAAACACTTATTCCACCTCTCTGGTCCTCAGCACCACTTGCTCCATTTCCCATTCCAGCGTCTGTCATCTTTATTCACTCTGCATGACACTTTTGCCTTTGGGATTCTCGGTATCAAAACAGGATGTTCAACATACATCAGTCTTCTTGTACAAATGTAAACGGTGTTACTGTAAAAAAAACAAAACAAACTCCAGCACTGTCATTTGATAGATCTCTCACTTCCCTAGTTTGCATCTTAAATCCCATTTAACATCTGTATTTTCCTCCTTTGCTCGGAAAGCTCTCTTCCTCTTTCTGGCTGCGAATTTACTGTCGACTTGTTCAATGGAAAGTCCTTGATGAATTTTCCATCGGTTTCAACATGAAACGCTTTCTTCTTTAAAGAAGCTGGTACTTTTTGTGCGCTCATAAGTCTAATCACTGTCTGCATCTGTTCCTCTTCCACATACACACCACAGAAAAAGCTGCCTCTCACAGCACTATCCCAGGCGATGGTGGAAGGCGGAAACCAGTTGGGAGAAGAGTCCTTGATAGGGTGAGTTTGCGATTGATTGACACACCAGACGTCCAATTGCTCCACCTTGGTTACTGTTACTATATGGAGCAGATGCACCCTAGAGAGCGTGAAATATGAGGCCATGCATTCAGGCCAAGCAATCTGCCCAGTTTTGTTTCTGTGTCTGGGACTTTCAGCAGTTCCCTTACATTACGGTTCAGCTCATTAATTGTGACCGACACAAATGCACAAAACAAGATTAGTCAGTTTGCAGTTGAGGATCTAGAAAGTGGATGTCTCCAACTCTACACGGCAGCCATGTGTCTGTCTGGAAATAATAAGGAAGGGAAAGTACGGCAGACAGTCGGTCTGTTTGTTCATGTAAAGCAGTGATGTATTCTTTTAGTTTGTTGCGGTTTCTATTGTGTTTTAAGGTATAGAGTTTTAATTACTGGAATATGTGTTCCCCAAAGCCCTGATTAATGATCGTAGGTTAACTGTCACTAGATCACTGTACACTCCTGGCTTTAGGCAGCTAGAAATGATGGCATTACATTGACCTAGTTTTGCTCTCAACTATTGATTGGGGACAGAGTAAGTGCTAGTAACACAGATTGCCGTCCGCCTGTGTTGTTATGTAAATCATGTCTTGCCAAGAAGACGTGTGATCACACTGGTTGCAGAACAGTTCATATCCTCACCTAGTAGGGCTGTTATGAGAATGAGGCATAAGCATGACTATGTTTCACATTTTTACACTGCTCTCTCTCTCTCAACAGGAAGATGATGGAAGTTTGCGGGGAGGCAGAGAATCGTCTGGCATCGGAACTGATGCAACATGAGCTGCAGATAGAAAAGGACGTTCTGGATCCACTCAGTCAGCTAGCAGAGGTCAGAAACCTTAAGCTTTGGGGATATAACAGCAGCTGGACGAAATGTTTTAAAAAAACACTTTCGTATGTGTCTGCATGGCAGTCCCATTCGTGTTTTTTGATTTATTTGGTCTAAATCAGGGAGGAAAAGATTAATTAACTTATTTTTGGGTTTAATTCGCTCAATTGCAAATGAACTACAGCTTTGAGTAGAGCCCAACAGATATATTGGCCATCACAGATTTATCAATATTGACATATATACTGTCAGATATACGTCAATCTTAAACTTAATTGCAACGCAGAAAAAGATGTTTGGGGTAATTTAGAGATCATGTCATTACATAGTTTGTCCTGCAGCTTGGCTCTGATTATTTTTTTATGTCTAAACACTGTCTGCAGTGCACGTAGCAAAGCATTAATCACAGCTGAGCAGGCGGTGTAGTCACGTGGTGCCTTCACACTAAGTTACTAAATACATTAAAGGTAATAAACAATGAACCCATAATTTTTGCTCTTCAATATAACTAACATATATGATCCAGGAGCAGTTGAACTCTAATAATAAATAATAATGCATTTATTTTGTATAGCGCTTTTCACGATACTCAAAGTCGCTTAACAGGGGATAAGATAAAAACAAGAACAAAACAAGTTGAATACAAAACAGATTTAAAAAAAACAAGGTAGAGAAGTTTTGATTAAAAGTCCCATGTACGCAGAAGTAGGTTGTATATTGACCAGTTTTGTTCATGTGATTATATGACTTCCAGCCCTCATAACATTAACCAGGCATGACGCACTTTCCTTGTAGTCATTACAGACTTTGATTTGCATTCTGTTTATTTGAATGTTTTACAGACGTGAATATCTGCTGTCAGACATGTTTACATTTGCAACTATTAATCCTGCATCTTTTCTAAGAAGACACATTGCTGTTTGGTTCAGAAAGGGCCTCTATCTTCATTTACATGTCATGCTGTGATAATTCTGTGCTTTAAATGCCATCGCTCTCACCAACAAACTCAACTGGGAGTAAATGCTTCAAGAGTTTAATTCAACCAACTTGCAAACTGCTATCGACATTTCTGTATTTTGATGTTAAACTAACTAATCAGTGGAAAGGTCCTATGATAGTTATCTAGGAAAACCATCAGCACTGCCTTTGAGGTCTGTTTCATTGATAAACCGTCTTAGGTTTGCTCACCTTGGTGTGTTTTTGTAGGTGGACATCCCCAACATCCTGAAGCAGAGGAAACAGCTGGCCAAACTAGTGCTGGACTATGATTCTGCCAGAGCGAGGTTCGTTTACACCTCATTCTGTCAGAACAATTTAAACTTGTGTTTTTACTCCTTGTCTGAAGACTCATTCTAAGACCACTGGAACTGCTGACAGAGTACCAGACATGCTTTACTCAGGGACAGCATGAGTTCTGTTACACTCTTCACCTTCAATTTCAAATTCAAGTATTTCTTTATCTGTTATAAGCAGTCTCAGATTTCCGTGTTTTTCTTGCTTTTCTGAATTCAGATGGTTGCAGGCAACCAAGTCAATAATCTCAGGAACAAACACTCAAGCACTGACGGCCAAGGCTGACCTACTCAAGGAGGAGGTGGATGAGGCCATGAACAAAGTGGAGCTTTGCAAGGTAACCAACATGAATACAAATGACACACAGCTGTAGAGCACATTGCTTCATTGTAGCTGTCAAGTTCATAGCAGGGCAGGCCACCTCTCATAATACTATCAGGATTATATTACAGCAATGTCACAGAAAAGCTTTTGCAAGGGCATGATGCCATTAGATGTAGAAGATTGTATTTAATTCTTTTTATGCTCACATCTGGCCTCATAGACTGGGAGGAAAAACTAGGCTGTGCCCTGAAGAATGGGCAGGCTAAAGGTCATTTATGGCCGAGGACTTGCGAGGAAAAGAAACTGAAAATAGGCCTGGCTAGAACATTAAACTGGGAGGAAAATCATCACAGCAACAACTGGACATTCCAAGACCCTTGGGCCCTCTGAGCTGGTCTGCTGACGCACGCAAATGACTGAAAATGCCCTGTCAGCTCTGTGTGTGTGTGTGTGTATGTGTGTGCGCATCTATCTATTGAACTGAGTCATTAGTGAGCTTAAGTGTGTAGCGGCTGCATGAAGTGTTTTTCTGTCCAGGAAGTGCAGAGCCTTGTGCTTCCCCTTCACTAGTTCTCCCTCCCAATCTCCCAAAGTCCTGCCAACAGCAGGAGGATTTATGACTCACGTAAAGCTTAGCTGACCACTGACGCCTTTCCTCATGCCACCTGAAATATCCTTCCATTTGATTAATGACTTTGTGTAGTAGAGATTTAGATCTTTTATTAGCCGTACATCTACCTTTCCTCTTATTTACTTTCTGTTAGTGACTGTTCTTGTGTAAATCACATTCTAACTTGATTTCGAAATTGTGTATAAAGATTAACTTCATGTTTTTGTCTAACAGGATCAACTTGCTGCAGACATGTACAGTTTTTTCTCAAAAGAAGGCGACTATGCCCACTACTTCATAACGGTGAGTCCAGTGTGTCAACAATCCAAAAATGTTTTCGCATGACTTTCTGTGGGAATGTTCACAGCTGCAGAGTAACTGGGGAACAGAGACTTGGCCAGCTATTTTATTTACTTTGCTGTCATGTACTTCACTGCTTGTCCTTTTGTACTCGCCCCTCATCTATGTCTCTCTGTTTCTGTAGCTCTTAGAAGCTCAGGCGGATTACCACAGAAAGTCTCTCACTGTTCTGGAGAGTGTCTTGCCAACCATCCAGGCTCAGCAAGGTATAATACATGCCACCATGCCTTTAACCACACACACACACGCACACAAAATAATACAGTATTGTTTAAACAAAAAAAAAAATTGGTGATCAACAGTTTGCGGTTATGCGTGCACGGAGAGCGTCAGGGTCAGGCTACATGTGCAAGCAGTAACTCTGAGGACACTGTTACACATGTTTTTGTGACCACTGGTAGGTGCGAATTTGCGTTTTACCATAGACTGGAAACTGGAGAGAAGAGAACATCAAATTCTGTCAGTCAGCAGCCGAGTTGAGGCAATCGCTATGTTGAGGATCATCACTGGGTCTGTGGCTACCACCAGGAGAAGAAACAGCAGTTATCACAGTGGAAGAGTCAAAACCAGAAAAGTCCCATCAGGGCAGAAGTTTATTGTTTTCGTGGACATTTATGTGGTTGAATGTGTCCGCCAAGATCACACTGTCAAGGCAGACTTCTACTGCAACGTCCTGAGGTGTCTAAAGAGGAACATTTGGCAAAAACGACCTGAAAACTGTGGCACGATGACACTTAGAAACACCAGAGCACCGTGTGCCCAGTCACGGCCCAGTGAGTTCTGTGGCCAACAAACAACGCCGTCATTGCTACCCACCCACCCTACTTGCAGGATTTGGCTCTCTGGGTCGTCTTTATATTCCTCAAAATTAAATTCAAGCTAAAACTTTGCTGCTTTGACACAGTTTAAGAAGTTCAGCACTCATCACATATATGGTGCTTGACGTATTTACATAACAAGACTTCCAGGGAGTGGTACAAGTGTTGCAGGAGAGCTGGGAGCAGTGCATTGCAACACAGAAAGTCTGCTTTAAAGTCACAGATTTTTATTTTTTTATAGGCGCATACTTTGAATTTTTTGACTGCACTTTTTGCACATGAGAAAGTACTGTCCAATGCATAATATGTTACCTCTTTATGTTTTTCTTTCTCTTTCTCTAAGCAGCAGCCCCTGTTTTACTTTGATTCCTGTGTGTTTTGGTTTCCTTTTAAAAGGACATTTCATTTTAAACACTTAAGAAGTTTGCTCAAATGTCTCCAGACGAGTAGTTGCTTGGAGAAATAGCAGTTCTTCATTCATGTCTCTTGCTGGCTTTAGAAATCAGACCAGCTTTTCTACCTTGTAGTTACATCCATCTGGTGTATTTTTCTAACAGTTGGACTACAGTTACCCCAGTTGTGGTAATTGGCAAAGGCCACAAATAGGACCCAGATAATAAAGAATAGTCTTTTGTTTTTACCACTTTACTCTTCAAAAATAATCTATTTTTGTGTTTTACAAACAGAATGTCTCCTGACAGGAGGTTTCTGTCTTGCTCGGCACTCTTTAGCTGTGTCTCGTTCAAGGAGCTTGTTTTTTCTGCACATGTGGTCTAAACCAGACGAGCCTGGTCTCCCAGCATGTGGCGATGACTCACGAACTCCACACACACCCCCACCCTCTCTCACATCACACCCACCTGGGTTCTGCAGCCCCCACCAACTCTCCCCGTGCTCTCTGCCTATCTCTACGCTCGCGCATTAGCTCGCGCACGCACACACGTGCACTCATAAACATAGAAAGATGGCTGAACAATCACTTCTGCTAGCTGGGAGCATGTGGTTATTATTTGGCTGCACCCTGTAGGGGGAGAGAGGACTGGTTTAAAAAAAAAAAAAAAAAACCTGGCCCGAGGGAGATTTGTTGACCCAGAAATCTGCCATCCAAACGAGCAACAGGCCTTGCTTGCACTGAATCCTTTTTTTATTGCATACCACTGTAACAGACAGGTCACACAAATAATCTGCAACAGCTCCATTACAACACTTGTTTTATGTCTCTTCAGATCTGACTCAATATGAATGAAATCACACTTGAGTATCTCTCTCTCTCTTTCCTTTCTTCTCAGCAATAATTCCTGTCTTTGCTTTTAGATTCATGGATGGAAAAGCCTGCATTTGGCACTGGGCTGGATGAGCACCTGAAAAGGAGCGGAAGGGAGATCGCCCTGCCACTAGAGGCCTGCGTCATGATGCTTCTAGAGACTGGCATGAAGGAGGAGGTAAGGAAGTGAAGAGAGAGGGAGAGATTAAACAAATACAAAGAAATGTGCTCCATTCATAGCATCTTACATTAATATTCAGCTGTATTGATGGAAAAAGTGGAGGCATTAAATTACTGTATGAGTAAAATTGAATTGGTATGAATCATCCCGTCCTTCTACGTGTGCAGCAGGAGATGAGACTGAAGAAATAATGAACTGAAGTGCCTCGGTTGCTTCAAGTTGCCGTCACGTGGATGATGAGGAGCAGGGGGTTGGGAGGGCTGCCAGTGATGCTTTTTTTTAAGACCATCGTTGTTGACTTTATATAAATTATGTAGTGTAATCCTTTGTCCTGTGGCCTCCTCCTTTCATACCAATAATTCCACTCATTCAGTGTTTTTCTTTGTCTTCACTTTCAAGTGCAATAGTTAAACATAAAGTTTGATTCAAATCACTTAGTCAGATGTGAAATGGGCTGCTCACTCTGATGAATACAGAATTAGCATCCCACTCTGCAGGTTTGTGGATCGTTTATGCCCATCAGAGCTGAAGCAATTTGTACATGAATGAGATGCAAAAATCTTTTTCCAATGTATTAATTCACTTCACCAGCCTGAATGTTCTAAATGCTAAGTGCTGCATTCTGATGTGACCAAACATATGGTTTACTGCAATGGTCTTGTGCCTATGTGAAAACCACACTGTCTTATTTTAAGACCACGTATATCGCAATGACTTGAAATTCAGGATAGGATATAGATATATTTAGCAAGTCATCCTGTTGCAACAGCTGTGGTCAAGTTCGTGGTAATGTGAATTCTTACTGTGTGGTGATTAACAAATATTAAACTGGTTACACTAAAGAGAAAAGTTTAAAGGAAATTAAACAATGTAAGAAGATGTTACACACAGCTGAGGGTAGGTGTAAAAATAATATAGTGTCACAGAATTAACAGTAAATCAGCATTTCTTCTGCCATGCAACAGAATTTTTTTCATTAACTGCATGCCATTTTGCAACCCAGTAGTCCAACAGAGAGCTGTGTTATTGATGTACTATTTCAGTATCGAGCAATCTCCCCATGATGTGGTATGAAGTGACTTCCTAATGCATACGGTAAAGCTACAACATTACAGCAAGCTTCATGCTCATGAAAATGAGTTTAGCATGATTGTTTAGGCTTTGGATAACTGCACCAGGCTACCTCATGATTCAGTTCACCACAGAACATTAACAACAGTAGCTGTAGAGATAGTAGACTCACCTACTTGCTATTTCATATGAATACACGTGACTAACTGGAATAATTCTACATTATCTTGTCTATAAACATGATTCCTGCCTGAGTTACGTCAGCAATGGTGGTGAGGACAACAACTTTTTTTTAAACCAAAAATGCTACATATGCACTGCCTCTAGTTTCTCAGAAGTAAATATTAGATCTTTTCTCTGATAGAAAAAGTGGATGACATTTAGCAGTTGGGGTGTTTTAAGCTGAGGTTCATGTCTGCAGACATGTGCTTTGGAGATCACTCCTAATCTTGTTTGCTAACTTGGCTGTGCTTTTGTTTTCCGTGTCTTAACCATTGAAGTAGAAGAAGGAGCTGTGGCTGCAATTAGCAGCTCCACTGCTCATTGACATAATTGAAACTAAGCTTTAAAGTGTTTGTTCACATGAACATCCCAAGTTTCAAGGAGATGCGCTGATAGACAAACTGTAAACAGGAAAGTGCCAGATTTTGTGTAATGCTGTTCCAGAGAAGTGGCCACCCATTCTGGCACAGGGATGATTTATGAAATGTAAATTTAGAATACAATAGAATCCACTTGTCTCCTGTCCATAAATCTGATCTCTTTGTGTGTGTCCATGTTTGTGCAAAGAGGTAGAGAGAGAGTGCAAGTGTTAACTGCAAAGTACATTATTTGTTGCCCTATTCATTCTCCTGTGAGTCCAGCCTGTGTTATTATGGTGTGAAGACAGCCTTTGTTTATGTGTCAGAGTAAATAGCTCGCTGTGCTCTGACTGTTGGGTGTGTTTGTTTGCCTGCTTTAAGGTTTCATTATGTACAGCTGGCAGAGGGACTTTATGTAATGGATTTATACAGAGCCTATCTGTAATTCAGTCTTAGGAAAGCATGACTGTTTGATTGTGTGGAAATTAAATGCCTAGATGTGTCTTTGTAGTTGTTTGCAGCCGACGTTACTGTGGTTTATTTGTCTTTGTGTGTCTCAGGGCCTATTCAGAATTGCAGCAGGGGCATCCAAACTAAAGAAGCTAAAGGCAGCGCTGGACTGTTCCACTTCACAACTGGAAGAGTTCTACTCTGACCCCCACGCTGTCGCTGGTAACCACAGCCATTTGTCAACGTTGTATTTTCATGTAAATTTGGACCACAATTCAAAAACAAGCAAAAATTGGCATTTATATAAAAGTTAGTATTTGCGTCTTCATGTCTCAGTGACAAATTAATGTAACCTGTGAACCCCAAGCTGTTTCTGGGCATGTTTTTTTTCACATTTTTACTCGCTGTGAGCTTATTTTTCAATGCATTATAAAGTCCTGCACCTCTATGGAAAAACAAAACCAAAACCAAAAAGAAAAAAAACCCAAAAAAGGTTTTGGGGCAAGAAAAAAAAACCAAAAAGCCAAAAAATCAAAAAAAAAAAGGGGAAAAAATAGTTGATTTTCATTGATTATTTATGTATTTTTTAAAAATAAAAAACTGCACATTTCCCTGAAGGTTACTAATATTGAAAAATGGTGGCTCTACATACTATGGATATTTTGCTGCTTACACTTCTGTAATCTCTACAAGCTACGTGCTTGTCACACTACTCTGCAAATCCACTTTAGTGTAGTATTTTCCCATGCTAAATGTATCTTCCAGGAACTTCTTAAGCCACAATGCCTTTATTTAATTGCTCAAGAATTATTTATTTTGTTGTTTAAACACAGCGGCACTTCAGCCAAATAATCCTGGAATTTTCTTCACGTGACTGTTGGTTGCAGCTGAGTCACTCATGGCTTCTCAGTTGTGCTGAGAAGCGCTGGAGTTTTAGTTTATTTACAGAATTTGAAGCAAAGCTATTTTGGTGAACCCTCACAATTTTAAGCTTAGATTTGGTTCATTTTCGTGATGGAACCGCATATCACTCATGATTAGTTCAAGGAGTGTCAGAAAGTTGTTGTCATTTTAAAGATAACATGCCTTTTAAACCCATAGGAAAGGATTGGGGTTCAGAGGGTTAAATGTTCATAATTGAAACTGTTAATTCGCACGATAGCTTGATTTATGTAAAACCACCTATTTTTTTTTTTTCTTTTAAAGTATCTTAGACAAATTGTCTGTGTTTGTGGTTCCAGGAGCACTGAAGTCCTACCTGAGGGAACTCCCAGAACCTCTAATGACCCACCAGCTTTATGATGAATGGATCCAGGCATCCAGGCAAGGCTCCGAATATTATCACTAGAAATGAAATGCACCAACATTGAATGGATCCATCATTGTACAGCATTGAAAAAAAGAAATGACAGGAAAACAAATTTAGGCCATTTAGCCATCTGGAGACTGGGCTATTAAAGCGCTCTGCTTTCAATTACCTATTGTTTTCTATCATTCTAGTGTGTCAGACCCGGACAAACGGCTCCAGGCGCTCTGGGTTGTGTGCGATAAACTACCAAAGAACAACAAAAACAACTTGAGGTTAGCTGCTTGAAGCTACAAGGTTTTGCTTTCATTTCCTCTCTTGTGTGAGACCATTTTTTACATCTTGTGCTTTTCTGCAGGTATCTGGTGAAGTTTTTAGCCAAACTGGCTCAGGACAGCGAGACAAACAAAATGACTCCGAGCAACATCGCCATCGTCCTGGGACCCAACCTGCTCTGGGCCAAGACTGAGGGGTGAGAGGGGATTCAGAGAGTGGGGACGCTCATACTGATGTAGAAAAATACATGTTAGTCGTGTTTAAAACAAGAGAGTAACAAAGTCTTGAGAGATCTGATCCTCATCCAGGGTGGTGAAGTGAATTTCCACATATGACAGTCTGTTATTTGAGCTTATTTCAGTCTGCCCGTCATTAAGTTGGGAAGCATCTAATTTCTGCTCATCTATATATGCACGCCCAGGAGTCTGGCAGAGATGGCTGCTGCTACCTCTGTGCACGTAGTGGCCATTGTGGAGCCTATCATCCAGCACGCTGACTGGTTCTTTCCTGAGGGTAGGTTTTCTGCTGTTTTCTCTCTCTCTGCAGTCAATAGACCAACCAGAAATGGGCGACTCATGGGGAAGGCAAATTATATTAACTGTCTAATAAGATAAGAAAATCAGTCGTGATCAAGCTTCCAATGCTCGAGATAAAAATACCTGCTGTCTTCATCCAGGTTCAAACCGTAGTTTGTGCTTTAGACGTCGATTTGAAGGTTACAACAGAAAACATGTCATATAATAGAACCAAAAGTAGTCTTTTACCAGATATTTTCCATAAACCTAATTCATTGGGGGGGGAAAAGGTGATTCCAAGCATTGTGTCAAAGTGAACAATGGGCTCTAATCTTTCATTTTTTTTGTTTGCTCTCAAATGGATAATTGCCTTGCAGCTTCATCTCTAATTTGTTTACGTTTAGAGTTGGATATTAGAAGTAGAGATAAAAACGGACTCATTATTCTAATTTCCATTTCTCTGTTTTGTGTTTGCGGTTGGACTGCACCATTAGCCATTGTACCATTGTACATCACTTTACTAACATTGCCTTAACCCTTATTTGTATTTATTTATTCATGTATTAGCCCACACGCTGCATCTAATGGCCCTTTGTGTCATTACATACACAAACCCTCTTCAGCTGCAGAAGGGAGGGCGGGAGGCACACTTGCACTTTAAGGCTGCTATTCTATGTTTAATCTGAACAACAACAATAACAATACGCCGGCCTTCAGCTCCAGTCTGAGTAATGTTCACATACGTCTGTAAACCCTCCCAAAATAGGGTGGCTGATTAATTATCGTACAGTCCGTTGAGCTACATGGGCCGCACAATGTGACTGCACGACTCAGTTCATGGCTGGTAGCTGCTACCCCTGTGCCCTAATGGTACAGTCCAACCACCAGCACAAAACACAAAAATGAAATTAGAATATTGAGTCATTTTTAAATTTCTCTTAAAAAATCTAATTCAGAAGCAGCAACACAAACAATTAAAAACTGAGAAAATCATTCATTTGTGAAGTTACTGGGGGGGAAGAAAAAAGGGTAACAACATTTTTAATTTTATTCATTTTGATACTAATTGAACAAAGAAGTGCAAAGCGCTAAACAGACCAAATTTCTGTACCCTTAATGTGTTCCTAAATATTGGAAACATCATGCAGTTATCACAGATGGTCAGGGAGGCTAGTCAAAGCCACTTCCTGTCAGTCTCCCTTCAGTCCCCGTGTCTGAGGCAGAGATGATGATAGATGGCCGACAGGGTTGCTGCCATAATTAACTCTGTTGCACACACACAGTGAGGGATGATGGGACAGTGAGAGCTGTCACCTCACAATAATAAGGAGCTTGGTTAATTGCCGTCTGCTTCTGTAGGAAACTCCTTTCACTGTCTCTAGACGGACGCTTTCAGGCAGATTTGCGACTCTTAATTGCCCAGTGAGTCGCGTCGTAACGTTTCTTCTGTGACGCGCTGGCGACATGTGGAGGCACCTTAATGCCGTGTGTATTAACTTGGTAATAGACCAGGATCTCCTCGTGAGAATAAAGACATGAAAAAATTAATTGATTCATTATCATCAGGGACAAAGGTATAGTAAAGCTCAGTATGGATATCTGCCATGACTGACTTAACTTCCTGCCTTGTTTTTTGATGTTATTCTTGGCAGTTTGAGTTGGCAGTCTGTCTGTCAACATCTGCCTCCTCTTACCTATAAAACCTCAGAGTTGTTTCCTTTGTTTGGTTTGCATTATGAACGGTGTAACAAGCCACATTTTGACCCACATGATCTTGGTTAGTCAAGTTCACCGCAGCATCACAGATCTCAGTTCAAGTCTTACGATGAGTCCTTGTATCCTGCTAAAGCATCTTGAAGTAAAGCTGCAAGACAACACTCAGTTGATTAAATTTACTGTATTTCAAAGTGGGGTAATTTAACAGACTATAATTTGGTTTGTGCGCATTCCCAATATGTTGTTTAATTAAAAAAAGGAGGCAATATAACCTCCTTCTCCCCAAGTTTTCTGTAAGATTTCCCAGACCCAGACACAGTTCCTTAAGTTAACTAGATAGTAAGTTCTGGTAAGAGTTACTCTTTCTTCTTACAGATGTGGACTTTAACGTGTCCGGCGTGTTTGTGATGCCCACACCTGCATCCAACCACAACAACCATCTAGATTATGACTCTGGCACCATTGAGAGGAAGAGGCCTGGCAGCATGGTGGGACCGGAGAACGACACGACGCGCAAAGACAAGTAATCAACTTGGTGGCTTCTCTGAAACCTCTTTCGTTTCCTAGGTGTTTCTAGCCTCCAGCCTTCACTGCTAACTCTAATTAATTGCTTTTGAAGTAATTTTGCTTTAATCCAGTTGCTTTTTCTGGTCCTTTTGCTTCTATTAAATTTTGGCCTAAATAATCTTTGTGATATGATCCACTGTTTTTATATACTTACTTCTCTGTGGTTGCTCTAGGGTTTGGTGAATCTGGTCTAATCAGTGACTTCCTGATCAAAGCTGCGGTGTTTTCTGTTTGTTTTTTTCCTTCCGTTACTGTCTCCCTGCTGTCCCTGTGTAGCACCCCTAACAAGCACTCGGACCACACCCTCCGTAGAGGCAGTAACACCTTAGGTAGAAAGCAGCACACTTCACCTGCCTTCCAGCCTCCTTTACCCCCTGTGGAGGCTCAGGGGCAGGGACATGGGGCCGGGCAGGTCCCCCAGCCCTCTGCTGAGCCCCAGCCCCAGACACAAGCTCCACCAGGGGGTTCAGGGTTTGACACTTCCCAGCATAGCTTGGCGCAGAATCTGGCTGCTCTGGCAGCTGCTCAGCAGCTTCTAGCCCAGCACACAGAGGAGCTCAGGTAAGAGCTGCTTCCAGGCATCTCTGCTGCTGGTGGGGAATGACACAGCATGCCTTCCAGACACACATGCATGCGTTTATGGTTTCACATTTAGTACTGTGGGAAAATATTAGTGCCTTCTCTGTAAACAGTTGTCAGTCTGATTAATTTCATGAAGTACTGTGGATTATTAATGCATGACTCACAGGCATCACACAGACACCAGGCCTTCTCCGGTCACTTTGGTTCGGCTTATTGTTTCTCTTACAAAACCACAAGTTTTCTTACGCCACCACCAGTTGCAGCTATGCAGACTTTTCTGAAGCCAGCCCACAGAAACAGCACAACAATGGCCTCTGTCATTCTGCTAACAGTCACTCTGAAGGCCTCTCGACTTCCCATCCCTCTGCTTTCCTCCCAAAAATCACTAGAATCAGCAGGAACTTCGCACTAACTGGCTCAAACTGCTTTGAAAGGCCTGGACATTGGTGCCTGTTATGCAAAGACTGAAGGGTGTCTTTGATTTAGTCGGTGAAAGGACAACATTCATTTTCAGACAGATAACACTATTCAGTTCAGCATTCTTTCTGTCCTACAGACTCTGTTTGGAAGGTAAATTTAGATGAGACTCAAATCATATTTGTGAGGTTTATATTTACAGAACATGCATTGTATAGCAGTTTCATAGAATGCTGTATGTACTGTAATAGCTCGAACCTTCATTAAAAACATTCAGTGGTGCATGCTGTACTCTATGTGTAAGCAGTACCCAGATTTTCAGTCAATTTTGAATGTTTGAAAGCCTTTACATTTACATACACATAACGAAATTGACTTCCAACTGCAGTTTCGTTATGTGTATGTAACGTATACATAGCAACAATAAAAAGGATTCTGATTCTTTGTTTTTTTCATCTCTTCTAAAGCAACCCAAAGCTACGTGACTCTACACCCGCTCAGACCCCTGTGCTGCAGAGGAATGGCTCTGGAGGAGGCGGCCAGACTGCAGGGCAGCTGGGCACCGGATCCCCCGGGGCTGGATCCATGGGGCCGAGCCCACATATGATGCGCAGAGGTAAGAGTTGGTACTTTGATCTGTCGCAAACAGACACGACCAGATTTTCAGCCACTCTTGACGAATTAAGTCAAGGGACTGGTGCAGCTGGGAAGTATCTGCAAAATAAAACATTTTTATACACTGAGGATCTCATGATGTGAAGACGACCTAATTGCTCTGATTTTACATCTCTGCACTGTCTTCATTTAAATCTGACAATCGATTTCTTCTTCTTTTTGATCACTCACAAAGCTAGGCTAGTGTTTATCACATGCCTACATTTAAGAGCTCATAAATCTATGTGACATAAGCAATAGCACTGTTTTGGAATTACACACTGGAGTCACTTCATTGATTCACATGTTTTCCATTATTACTATTATTGACAATAGTAATATTATTATTATATTATAGAATTGGCTGATGGGAACATCATACCACAGTTCAGGGCGTTGAATGTTCTTGCTCAGACGCCTCAGCACATTTCAGTAGAACTTCCAGTCTGACCTTGGAGAATGTTGAACTTTTCACCTGACTGCAGTTCATCCACTATGATAACTTGTTTGTTCTCTTGGTGGTAGCTGCAGAACCACCTCTAATAACCAGTTCACACTTGTTGCATATGCGTGACCATGAGGTGCGCCATGATTGTAAAATTTCAATTGCTTCATGTTTGCTGTTCCACTATATATTTTTTCTTCACCATCAACTTTCAGGTACCAAGAAGCAGGCTCCTGCTCCTCCCAAACCAACAAACCCTCCTCCCAGTCAACCCTGCAATTCAGTGAACCAAACCTCCTCCTCTGGCTCCTCCCAGTCTCTCAGCCCCTCTCCCAGACCCCTCTCCAGCCACTCGCCCACTTCGCCCACCTCTCCCGCCTCACAACCGTGTGCCACGCCCAGGCGCCACTCCAGCAACCAGCCCCCAATCCAGGCGCCCAGCCATCCGCCCCCAGAGCCTCCGACACAGGCCAGCCCTCCGGTGCAGCCTGCATCGCTCGGCCACTCCACCGGGGACCAGCAGGGCACGGACCCCTCACCTCCAGGCACCCCGACCCCTCCAGACACGCCCCCACCCTCCTCTACCAGCCAGGATGCAGCCGCTCTTCCGTCCCCGTCTCCCTACCAGTCCGGCTCCCTTCCCCGACCGCGGCCGGTCCCAAAGCCTCGCAACAGACCCAACATCCCACCGCCACCGCAGCCCAGCACACTGACCAGTGAGACCAACGGGATCTGCGCCACTGCGTACAAGATGATGGGTGAGTGTCGTTTCTCAATCAGTGCATGTATAATACTGTATTTATTAACTGCTGATTACTAATGTGCTCTTTTTCTAACAGTCTTGCATTGTAATACCTCCACAGGTTAAAGAGGCACTTGTGAGAGGTTTGTTGAGAATTAACACCTGTACTAGTAGCACCTGCACTTTTTGTTTGCCTCTAGGAATCTAAATCATCATCAGATCCATTTTTTGTTCTGCCTGCTGCCTCCATCAGATTGTTTTTAGCCCTGATGCACGACTGTCACCCTGTGTATCATGGACTTCTAGTATCATACCCATTTCTGATGTTAAATACTCAAAATATACAAGTCTGACAGAAAATGAGCATCACGGATGACATTCAGTGCACTCAGTGCTACCAGCAGGCGATGTCTTGA